CTCCAGGCATGGTAGATCAATGTTCCATCTGGAACGGATGAAATTTCTTGCTCAAGGTGCTCGTCTGACCACATTCCACAGCAATATTCTGAAGCTGTACGTGAAGGAGATATTCGATGGGTTGTACAAAGAGATCAGGAAGATCCTGGTGCCGTTCATGTGGATGTTGTGCTGCCATTTGAATGGAAATTCGGGGGTTGGTAAATCTGCATTCGTCTGGTACTTCCGGTCATGATCTACGAGCCCAGAGCGACTGTTTTGAGGGTAACAAGCTCAGGGTGGTGAATAGAGAAGACTTCCCTCAGGAGATTGTGCTGGACAGCAAAGTAGATACCATCTCATCGATCAGTGAGTGGACTTGGGGCGGACGTGGGAAAAGCACGAGTACGATGCTCTTGTGTCTTCTTGGAGGAAACGCGTGACAGACTACGAGAGTGGATCAGAAGAAGCCAAAGAGATAATGCAGAGAGTGAATGCTGCTGAAATGGCGTTTGAATGGTTTGGAGGTTAGAAGCAAACGGTCTGACTGTGGAAGCTTTCGAAAGGGATTGAAGCACCTGAGTATGGTTCTGACTCCTGATTTTGTCCTTCAAGCGTTTTGAGCGTTGGTGGTCCAGGAAACCAAGGTGCGCATCTTCATGCTCTCAAACATGCTCCTGGCGGTGCTCAAGTTGAAACTTGCGTGAGAGTTATCCAGCAGACAATGGTCTTGCGCAGGATCAAAATGCCCATTCTCGCAAATGCGAGGATCCACGGTACTGGATTCGACCGAAGCTGTTCTTCGTGAGGGCAACGACGCCTTGGATGGTCCTAATTCGTTGTAATTCTTAGGATACTACTTTATCCATCACGAATAGCATCAATACAGTAATCACTTTGAAGCTTTTAAAATAGGATCTACATATTTTGTCTTGGTAATGGGAGATTTCACTTCCTGAACATAGTCGCTTCTATATATCAGGTGAAGCAAGATCTAACGTCCACATCTTGATTGATTTCATTTGCTGTTAAATCCATCCATTTTTTGAATTTTTTTTGTGTGTGGCTATCCGGCACCAGGAATCGTCTAAAATCCATGGTGAGGCTCTTTGGGTATCGAGGTTTCTTCATTTGAATCCTTGGAATCTTTCGGTTTTCGGCTTTCGACATCCAAGCCGGCTCCCTTTCGTCCTTGGGCGGCTGGATGCCTTGGATGATCGCTGCATTTTGCCGCGTCTTGGCGTCCGGAAGGGATGCGTCAGGGAGCGAAGCAATTGCGTCAGAATAGATGCAGCTGAGCTCCTGGACCAGCTCGTCCCAAGTCCGGCATGACAGGCCCGTTGTGTAGTTGAGAGGGAGGGATGGAAAAGGTTGCCTTTGTCTGGGTGCAACCGGATGGAGAGCTCCGAGGGATTCAAGCCACCCAAACATCGAGAGATGGCAGCTTTCCGCTGCACAGAGGAAGACGAATACCCGAGTCTCTCCCACCTCGCGAAACCGTAGCCGCACTAAAATCTAACGGTTTGGATGGTATATTCTAAGATATCCTTTAATCCAACGGCTGTGATGTATCGGTCTTAACCTTTTATTTGTTGTAGTTACCACTAATATAAACTGCGTTTAGAAGTTCATTCTTATTCACTATTTCTAGCTTGTTGTCTAGCGTCTTTCTTGTTCAAATGGTGAAAGTGATGAGCTGTTTCTTGCACCAAAATTCTTTATTGACCACTCCAACTCTTTTGAGACCTCTCCTAAATCTTCTTTCACACTCAGGATCATTGTGTTCCCATAGTTGGTCATAAATAATTTGAAGATTCCTTCTCTACAATCTTACAAAGTTGGGTTGAATTTAAAATTCTTTCTAAACTCTCCAAAACTTCTTTCAATACACTTAAATTGCTATTACAAGTTTAAGAACACTATGTGTTTATAATAGTTCATAAGCTATAAAGAAATTCCTCACAAAGAACACTCTTCTTTATAAAGAAAATAGAAACAAGATTAAAGGGTCTTGGTCTATTTATTGATTATCAATAATTTTAGCAAAGCTTTCTTAAACATAAAACTTGTTACTAGCCCAGCATTCATAAATATTATAGACCATTAAAATTAACAAAAGATATTGAGGAGTTTTGAGAGTCATGAATGAGATTATGTTCTTGGGTTGGGTTTGGGTAAATATTTAAAGAGATATTTGTGAAATGTTCAAATTAAGTTCTGAAATGCAAAAGTTGAAGATGGTAAAAAGTCCTAGTGTACTTAATAGCTTTAGACATTTTTGAAGGACAAAACCAAAGAATAAATTTTACTAAAATGAGGAATTTGTTTTGACATTTATCTACTAAAATATAAATGTCAAATGATATTATTATAGAAAATATTGATATTTTGATTCCCTTCTAAAAATCACCAGGGTGAATATCTATGGCAAGCCATGCATGATTGCAGGTTTTGAGGGGAGATACAACATGGCAAAAAAAATTAGTATACTTTAAAAGATGTGAATTTAAAACACATATGTGCTTGAATTTTTTAAACACACAGGTGTGATATGTTCTTTTGGATGCCACTTTTTTTCAAGGTATATATAGGAATTTTTAATCCAGATTAGTATATTGCCATATCAACATCTTTTTCTTCATCTTTCAAGTTTGTCAAGAATGGTAGAAATGCATGACAAAATGATTGGTCTATCAACCTAATTAGAAACATAGCTAAACCAAGTATCATGTGAGAAGAGTATTGGCTCTAAGCCTCCATGCTTTAGCCATTGTCCATTGCCAATTGTGCCAATTTGGCAATGTCATTGCAACATTGGAGTGCTTGATTATGGCTCCCAGTGCATTGAGCATGTGCTTATGATTTGCAGTGGCTACATGCATTTAGGTTGTCAATCTAAAGTTTTATTGACCTCTACCTCAAAACAAGCAATAATTTCAAATGCCATATGTATTGTGGCATGTTCACCAAGAACAAAATTCTAAGTTAGTAGAATATTGTAGTTATTTTTAGGAGCTATAGGAGATTATCAGTGAATTGATAAAGATTTCAGCATTGTATGGTGTGCTGGATGAGCCAGCTTGCTGCTAGGCAGTGTGTTAATCTTTGAATGTTTTTGCCACCCAATTGTAACATGACATTATGGCAATCTTAGAAAGTAATCCTAGTTAACATAGGTTGGATTCACCCATGCTAAAATTATAATGTACACTGTCATGTTTCAATTGCTATTAAGCAATCAAAACATGATTGTGTGCATTATAATATTATGTGAAATTCAAACTAAAAATATATATCTACACAAGTGTAAATATATAATGCTTTTATACATAATCACATATTCATCTCCAGAAATATCTCTTCAATCCTCTTCACTTTCTATTAATTTTTTGACTTGTAATACTTGATCTTCCTCTTATCAGATCCAAAAGAGTCTCCATCAGCTTTCCTTCCAAAGTTCTTTTCAATTTTAGTCGAGGAGGTTTTAGGCTAAAACTAACAAAGGTATATTTAGAATAAATTTTTTTGTGACATTGTTTGAAAAATCTTCCATATCAAATGTCATTTATTGGTTTATTTAAGCAAAACCTATATGGTAGTGGATATACTTAGAATATCCCTGGATATTCTAAGATACTAAAGATTATTACTTATTTATATTAATCTAGTATTTATAATTTATAAATATGTTTATTTTTATTTATAAATTATAAACATGTTTATAATTATTGATCAAGTGGATTATTCAATGACACTACTATTAAGAAAACCAAGCATTGTTGCATGCAACATGCAGCAAATTATTTTTAAATCTTTGAATGCTCAAACTGTCATATGACATTTTTTTGGTCATGCCAAAATTATTACCTGAAGAAGCTTGAGCATTCAGTATCCTGAAAAAACAGGGATGGGATTAAGCTAGATTACAGTGGCAGAGATAACTTCCTTGCTCAGTTTCTGGGGAACAAAAGCTGTTTCCTAAACACACTACTTCAACTCTTGTTTCAGACTCATAGGTGGGAATCAACGCAGTAGCTCGTCCTTTCTGTGACATAAGCGCAAGTAACCCCCCATGTTAAACACAAACTTGTCGAGATTGATCTCTGTTCCAATGAATAAATGGGGATCGTTTGTTCTGCACATTGCTAATAGATAGTAATCTCCGTCGTCCATTCTTTCCATAGACACCTCGTCGCACGTCAGTAGAAAGTCTGAACCGGGATAGCAAAGCTTTCCATTAGTGTTTCCAACGAACCTGTAAATGGGAAGATATGCAGTGCGTGTGCGAGGAGGGCAGATTGCGGTGATGAAGGTCTTGTCCTCTGTAAGTTGAATATCTGTGCAAACTTTTGAAAAGTCTCCACAAGCCTGTGGTACAAATGAATGTACGAACGTACAAGCAAACTCTTACCTTAATTTGCATTGCGAGGAGTAATGCCACAGCAGCAACAATAGACGAGATCACTGAGAACGATATCATACTTCCAAAAATGCGAGTAAACTCAACACGAAAGGAAAGAAAGATAAGATCAGCTTGGCATTGTAGCGTTGCTCTAAGCAACGACTCGTGGCAGCGTTTGATCACAACACAGTTACTTCTCTTCTGTCATAAATTTTCTTAACTTCAGAGGTTGGTGGCGGATGATTTTTTGTATTGATCGTAAACGTAAAAACCAAGAAATTTGAGAGGCCCTGGGGTCATCAAACCCACTAATTTTATTGGTGGCAAGTGCCCGTAGATCGTTCGTTCTTATGTGGGACTGCGAATGTTTCTTTGGAAAATCCCGGATCAATGGGAAGATAGTAGACTGTGGTTACACGCTTGCAGCTAAACTCGGGAGTCACAAGAGTTACGCTGCGTCATCGAAATGATCCACGACAAGGCGAGATCAAACGCTGCCACGAGCCGCCGCTTAGAGCACAACGCAATCACACCTTACTCGCGTGTTCTGGATCGATCTACAGGCAGCATTGCAAAGTCTATCACCACAAACCCTAAAAACCCTAAAGGTTGTTAGAACAAATAGAAATAGATTTCTTTACCAGTAGGCATAGGAGTCACGGCGTGAGGAGGACTGCCGACCTTCTTCGCGCTACTGGGAGCTCCAGATCTAGAATGCTCTCTAGCTGAGATTCTAGGGCAGCGCCATCGATTTCGCGATGGGCGAGTGGATTGTCGGCGCCGCGATCAACATCCTCGGCAGCATTGGGATTAATCTCGGCACAAATCTTCTCAAGCTGGGCCACAACCAGGCAAGATTCCAAACTCCAGTGGCAGAGAAGAGATAGAATTTCTTAGACCCTTGCTCGGATTTCTAGAGAGAAAGGGAGTGCGCGGCAGAAGGGGGAAAATTGCCACACCGGAAATCAGTGGTCCAGTTCCAAGCATGGAGGGCAGGTAAATTTTTCTTGCATTGGGATCTAGGATCTTGGCTAGCGAGCTCGAAGAAAAAACATTTCTTAGTGGCTACTTGTTTTTTTCCCAGGTCTCATCGTCTTTTTCTTTGGCAACTGCCTTAACTTCATCTCCTTTGGCTACGCGGCACAGGCAAGCTTTGAATGGATCCAATTTATTTTTACTTAAACTCGTGTTCTTCCAGTCATTGCTTGCGGCTCTCGGTTCCGTGCAATTTATTTCCAACATCGGCTTTGCGTATTTTGTTTTGCACGAACTTGTGACATCAAGGTGGCTGCACTGTTAGTTGAGAACTTTTCATGACATTGTTGCTAGCTTTTGTCTTGTGTGATCAGAATAATACTTGCCACAGCTTTCATTGTCGTAGGCAATGCGTTTCTAGTTGCCTTTGGCAACCATCAGTCTCCAGGTAGAAAGCTTGAGGTGTGATTTGCCTTTTTATCTAATTTTTGGCTTCTTTCCTTCCTTTTCTGTTTTGTAGTTTTCACTCCAGACGAGCTGCTTCGCAACTACAAAAATCATATGTATCTGGTATATTGTGCGGTGCTTTTGATAATCATAGCTCTTCACCACGCTGCATACAGGTACTATACTCTCTCAAGTTACTAGCTCTTTGGATTGTTTAGAGGCTTTTCAGGAAAGGAAGGCAGCTCGTCCATGAACAGGGTTCAAACACTAACCGCAACTGGCACTTCCTCATGCCGTTCTGCTACGCTGTTGTCTCTGGAGCCGTGGGGACTCACTCGGTGTTGTTTGCAAAGTCCTTGTAAGCATGCATTTGTCTTCACATATTGCGTGCTAACTGGTTAAAGTGCTGCCTTTTCTCTTTCAGATCAATCTTACTTCGACTGACATTGAACGGGGAGAGTCAACTGGATGGCTGGTTTACTTACTTGCTTCTGTCTCTCTTCTTCGTCACGGCTGCGTTCTGGGTAAGATTGGCTTGCTTTGATTTGACGTAAGTTCCGAATGTTGCGCCTGCAGATGGTGCGGCTGAACGATGGACTTTCTATGTTTGATGCAATCCTCATTGTGCCCATGCTACAAATTTCCTGGACAACGTTTTCCATTTTCACTGGATTCGTCTACTTCCAAGAATACCGGGTACTGTCTTTTGCTGTTCATCTGGTTAAAGTTTTTGGCTCCAGGTTTTTGATGGTTTCAGGGTCTGCATGTTCATAGTGGGAATAGTCGCTTTGTTCGTGGGCATTTTGCTGTTAGCACCTCAAGGGTCATCGAGTACGTATCTCTTTGCTCTATCTTTTCAAGGAATAGGGAAAGTAACACAAGTTTGTTCCGTAGGTAATAGCGAAGCATTCAAAGTGACAAAGCCAGACGACGTTGAGTCGGCTTCTTTGATTGCCAATGCCGACAGGAAAGTGCTTCATTCCACGAGTTGCATTTGGATTTGTGTAAATTTAACACGAATAAATTTTTGCAGGCCACTAGTTTCCGAACAAGGAAGGCTTTCGAGGGCGAGAGGTGTTATCCAGAGCATTGCAGTCGACGCTTTGTCCATGGTGGGTAGAGCAAAGGTAATAATGAAGTTTCAATCGTCTTGGCACTCACTCGGAAATATTTTTGTGTCGTTTTTCCATAGACCGCTTACAAGATGACCATGGGCTTTGGCCAAGATCAAATTCACGCGTCCTCAGTATTCAGTATGCCGATGGTTTCTTCGTCGCGAAGTTCCTGGAGAAATCCATCTCTGTACAACGATTGGCTTTCGTCTTCTTCTTCGTTCCCCCCTCCCGCAATCGACGAAGAAGTTTTGACGTCCGATAGAGTTTCCATCCCTCAAGACGTATAGACTTCGGGAGGTATGACTTGTTTACTTCTCTTGCCTGTTCCCTGTTCCTAATCTAAGCTCAACTTCTGCAGCTACGTGACTCGATTGCGGCCGAGTCGAGTCCCGTGAGCTGATGGCGAGCGACGCATTTGAGTCGTGTACATTGTTGAAGAAGTTTTCCTGCTGGTGGGCTTGGACCAAGGAAGAAATGACTGCCTTTGGGTCCGACAACCTACACAGCACAGGAGCAAAGTTTTGGTGGCGGATCAAAATTCGCCTTTATACTTACATGAGAGCACCGGTAGGCCAATCTTGTTCCATAACAAGTCTTCGTGCGTGCAGCAGCTGTTCGCGCTCTCTCTCTGCAAGATCAAAGTATAGAAGACGATGCGCTCTAAGTTTCTCTCACCTTGGCGGTGCCGATTCATGTGTCCTCCCAGAGCTTGAGACTTTGCAAACTTCATGGGACAGAAACGGCACTCGTAAGGCCTGGAAGACGATGGCTCGTTGCTGCACGAAGAAGCTGCCACGGAGGAAAGGCTGCGAGGCCGGAGTCGAGGCCGAGAACGAGACTTTGGAGGTGGCGGCGGTGGTGGCATCTGACAGCAGCTGGTAAAAGAATAATTCGCAAACGCAGTGCAACGCTAAGGATTGGAATCGTGACGAGCAAGAGGAAGAACGAAAGAGTGATTTTTTGGAGGTGAGTTTATACTGACCAGCTCGATGATCTTGTTGTGCTATCGCAGTTGCATTGGGACGACGAGGATGGAGTAGTCGGGGACAAGTTAAGATCAAGAGACGATGCTTCATCCATCGCTGCGAGAAGACGAAGTAGTAGTAGAGTTCTTGCGAAAATAGGATCTAGTCGAGTATAATTGGAGTGATCAAAGAGTGACGAAAGATTCTTTGGTTCTTTGTTTAATCTTTGCATCGGACTTTGCCAACACCAATGAAGAGGAAGTTCTAACTTCCAAACTAGCCTTTAAGCCCTAATTTTATCTTTTTAAAGCGACCTTTAGAAGATCCAAAAGTAACAAACCCTAAAATCTTTGTTCTTTACCGTTGGATCGGGATCGGTTATCTAGGGCTTGAGCTAATTTTTTTCCCTCTCTTTCTCTCGTCGCGCGGGCGGATGAGATGCTGGCTGCCGCCGTGAATTCCACCTCCACCGCCACCTCCGGCTCGATTCCTCCTCCTCCTCCCGCCGCCGCTACCGCCGCTCCTTCTAGGGCGAGGAAGCGTCCTCCCACTTCTAGGTCTCACTCCATGGTCGCAGCAGCTCCGGAAGAACAGGGCATCGACAATGGCGGCGCTGCCGCCGATGCTGGCGCTGCGAATCCCGCGAGCAACACGGCCAATGGCGGCTGCGAGACGTGCTGCAGCGTTGGGAATGGGGAGGGCGAGGCGGTGTCGTCGCCGCTGCGCAAGACATCGCTTCGGGTGCCCAAGACAGGTAACAAGGTAGCTAGATCTTCACACAAGCAGGATAGTTCTTCGCGGCCGGGGGCGGAGACTCACCACCATCTCGCGGGGCCGCTCTTCTCCAAGCCGGTCTTCATCGCTGTGATGCTGGCAGTGATGGCCACTACTGCCTGGAAGTGGAGCCGGGATCCAGGGGTAGCGCCGGGGATCTCGATGGCCCAGATGAAAGAGCTGGAGGATTTCTCGAGGAAGACGACCAAGTGGATGCAAGTCCAGCTCGAGCTCGTGGATATGAAGATCGGGAAGGAGATCGAGGGGCTGAGGAGAGATGTGGGGGACAAGATCGAGGAGCAGGCGTTGGCTCTAGAGACGAGCATCTTGAACTTGAGATCACAGGTGGAGGATATGGATTCTTCCGTGCAAAGGCTCACGCAGGACGGGCTTCTCACGAAGAAGGAAGGGATGGAACTCATCGCGTCGATCATCCAGCAGCGAGCAGCGGAAGAGTCTGGAAAATCTCTCACTCTGGACGACGTGAGAATCGCTGCGAGACAGATCGTGGAAGCGGAGCTGGAGAAGCACTCGGCGGATGGAATCGGTCGGGTGGACTATGCTCTTGGCAGTGGAGGAGGGAAGATCATCGAGCACTCGGAGGGATTTTTCACGGGTGGCCGGGCGGGGTGGCTGAGCATTCTTGGAGCTGGGCTCTCGGCCGGAGGCGCGGTGAGGCATCCCATGGCTCACAAAGTCTTGGAGCCGAGCTATGGCGAGCCGGGGCAGTGCCTTCCACTCAAAGGAAGCAATGTTTTCGTGGAGATTGCGCTGAGAACTCACATACATCCCGACGCCATTACGATCGAGCACGTCCCAAAGGTATGATCCTCCTCCTCTCCCTTTTTTTCCGAGTGTTTGAGCGAGAGACCTTGATCCGGGAGTGAGAGAAACTTAGTCCAGCGTTAATCTGTCGAGACTAGAGTTCGGTTCTTCCTCTTTCTTTTTTCGAGTGTTTGAGCGAGAGAGAGATAGAAAACTTCGATCGAGAGAAACTTAGTCCAGCGTTTTCTTCAAGCTCTCGAGACTAAAGTTTGGTTCTTCCTCTTTCTTCCAGAGCGTGGCTTACGACGTGACGAGCGCTCCCAAAGATTTCCGCGTCTTTGGCTGGCTGGAGCGAAGCATCCAAGCCGGGACGATCGCGCGGCCAGTGAAGAAGCTCTTGCTGGGAGAATTCAGCTATAGTTTGGATGGATCAAACATCCAGACTTTTAGCTTCCCGGAAGAAGTGTCGAGGGAGCTGATCAACACCGTGCGAATCCACATTACATCCAACCACGGTAGCGCCTCTCACACTTGCCTTTACAGAGTTCGCGTCCACGGCTTTGAGCCATCGCCACAGCATTTTTAGAGCTCTTGTTCTTCCTGTAAATTCTTTTATATACATTGTGTTTGAACAAATGTGTGTGGAGGAGCCCTAAACCTAAGCTATGAGCTATGGCAGATGAAGCGAGCTGGGATTCGCGGCGTGGCAGCCGCGGCCGAGCTTCTTCCAATCGATCGGCAAGCTCGTCACAGCGCGCGGCAGCGCCGGATGGTAGGGATTTCATCGGCAGTATAAGGCGGAGGCAGCAGCAAGCGAGGGGTTTGTCGCGGAAATGGGGGTCGATCAATCGCTACATTCTCCAGGCGCGGCAGTGGGCCGAGCAGGAGCCGACGCTGCTGGCGCTCCAGGCCGCGCTGTTGAGATTCGTCGACAAGCTGGTGCCAGTCATGGCGACAATTCGATCGAGGGCCGGGAAGGTCGTCGAGCGGTGGTGGCCGGGAGTGGAGAGATGGGGCATATTCGCTGGCAGGTTTTTCCTGATTCTTCTCGTCGCTACGCTTGACTGTTCGCTGCGAGGGATCAAATCGGTCTTGCGATTGAGCTCCGCGGCCTTGTGCCTCATTTTTTGGTGCTCCATTCTCAACCTCGCGGTGCTCGCAGGATTCCTCTCCATCGCCATTGCCACTGTAAGTTCTCCAAGCTTTGGCCTTTGCTTCTTTCTCCATTTTGTTTGCTTCATACATAGTTTTTTCTTCTCTTCCAGGTGGTCACGATAGTCACATCGTTTTTCCTTGGATTAACTCCAGGTTTCATCGTCCTGAGCTTGTATGGAGCTTCTGTTTCGTGGATGTATGGGAGCTTCTGGACGACGTTCGCAGTCGTCTTAATTGCAGGTCAGTGACTTTTGGTGAAGTGGATTTCTTCTCACCGTCGTGCTCCAGGCACTCTCTACCTTTTCCAGCAACCTGCCGCTTGGATCATCCTCTTGCTCTACGCGGTTTACTCGTGCAAGGTTCATGGAGGGTGGCTTGGACTATTCCTCTGCTGTGGCCTGTCCTTCGTGTCCAGTGACGTGATTGTTTACTTGGTCGCCACTGTCGAGCAGAGAAGACAAAGTGAAAAGGTACACGATCGGTTTAGTAAAGGCAAGGCAGCTCCCAAGTCCAGTTCTCAAACTCAAAGATTTAGCAGTGCTGCTGAAGACGAGAATTCGCCTTCCGTGAGTGGTGCTCCTGATGTCGACCAGACGGTGGCAGAGGAAGAGGTTGCACGAATTCTGGGGTCCGGGGATCACTATGCAGTTCTTGGCTTCCAACGGTTTGAAGTTTGCGAAGAGACCGCTCTCAAAAGAGAGTACAGGAAAAAGGTTTGATCTTCTTTTCTGTTTTTCCTTGTCCAGTTTTGGTTGACGATTATGGTGCAGGCAATGT